TGTATAAAGAGGTCATTGCAGCAGGCTTTCGCACGTGAACTCTCAGCAGTGTAGAGAATTCGTTGCTAGCTCTTTCTCACCAAGCTTCGGGAATAGATAATGGCTCTGTAAACCTGTCTCCACATTTTATTGCAACCCATTCCCTGGACTGATCCTGAACTGATCCATGCAATTATCCTTTAACTGATCCCAGGACTGATCCTTGGACTGATCCTTAAGCTGATCATTGGACTGATCCTTGGACTGAGCCTGGACTGATCCATACAATTATCCTTTAACTGATCCCAGGACTGATCCTTGGACTGATCCTTAGGCTGATCATTGGACTGATTCTTGGACTGAGCCTGGACTGATCCCTGCAATTATCCTTTAACTGACCCCAGGACTGATCCCTGGACTGATCCTTGGGCTGATCATTGGACTGATCTTCAGACTGATCACAGGACTAATTTACTGGACCCAATCTATACTCTAGTTGTCAATAACATCCTCCCTAATCTCTGCTAAGACCAATTTTATTACCTTAATCTTACCCAGGTGACCTTTGGGGGTTGTTAAGATGACCAGATCAAAAACTTTAACTATATTTGGGCAAAAATCGCCGCTCTCAGACTTGGTATCGTGAAGAATTTTTTTTTTATGATTAATGTTAATTAATTAAGTCAACGCAAACAAATTAGTTCTAGGTATGACCCATTGATCATTCCTTGCTGACTGACTTCTCCTTTAAGATGACCAGATTAACAACTTTGAGGCTCATTCTTCTAAGCCTTTAATCTCAGTTCTCCCCATAGAGCTCAGCCATCGTATGTAATTTACCCTCACATTCTTTCCTTTAAAACTGACTTAATCAGTAAGCTCACACTGTCTTTGCTAGTGAAACTAAGAGTTATCCAAATACTGTGAATCTAAATCACTAAAGATACAGAAATGAACTGAGTTTTAATCAATAAAGTCTTAACAATAAGCTTGCATACTTGAAGAACTGTATGATAATTAATTCAGCAATAGTCTATGCATATATTTGCAGTCGTTTCCATCATGGTTAGTTTAATATCTAGAGACTGAGTAGAACAAGACATATGCTTTCATGTCCCACAGTGAGGAATTTCAGGTATATTCGTATCCAGGGTTGGACAAGTTGAGACATGCAGATTCACTGGAAAATGAAAAGACGGAAAGAAAGAATATGGGAGTGCACAGCACAAGCAGAAATTAGGCATAAGGAAACACTTTGAATTAATTAAAAACAGCATACTCAGTTTTAAAGACATGTGCAGCTGAGTATGACAGTTATAAAATTATAAAGGCTCATGATTATTTTTTAGCATTTACAAGAGAGTCGAGAGGCTGAATAATATCAAAACAATCCCCTCAAAAATATTCTCAAGCCTAGACCGGATAGTTACTAGATGAGGATTTTAGGGGCCGAGCACCGATCATCAGTTACAAAAATCTGTATCTGCCGATTGCCGATCATGATCACAGCATCAAATCAATAAATTCTTCATTATAGGACATAGGAATGAAAGTAGATTAGAAAGTATCATAAAGCGAAGGCAGCAGAGATGAGCATTTTTAATCAAAATGTAAGATAGAGAAAATAATGTTAATAAAGGATGAAGTAGGGAATGTTATTAAGAGGTTTGTGGGATATTTTAGAGAAAGCGGTTTTATTTTAGCCCTACAAGGACTGTTTTGTCGTCCTACCTCCAGCACTTTTCTTGACCAATGTGTTCTTGGAAAAGAGATTTTTGTTCTCAGCAAGTTTCTTCCATGTTAATCAAATGAAATGGACTTCCCTAGGGTTATAATCTGGTCATATGGCTCTGCAACTGTCACTATGCAGTTAACCTCTTAAAGCCTTAACAACTAATAACAAAGAATGAATGTAAATTACACCTCTAATATATTTACCAATATAGACATGTTACACATTGTTGGAAAGCTTAGATTATCCATAATTCAACCACCAAGTTCGTTTTATAAACACAGCGAGCACCAAAGCACAATTAACACAGATATAGCAGCATGTCAAAATGTAAACAGGACAAAGCAATACAACATTCAAGCATGTGTTTATTACTGCTGTTACTGCTTGGGCAGTGTTTTACTCACCCAATTTTCATGTATATATTCAGAAACTAGACAGTGTTCGCTTTCAAATAACGTATCACACATGTAATTTGGACGTACAGTTCCTAAGTTATTTCCTTTTCTGTTTGGGCTTGCAAAATAGGCGAGAATTTCCCAAAATGTGTCATGATCTCGGCGCTGATGGTTTGGTTTTTTCCTTTGCTCCTTGCTTTCCTGTCTAATTGGTTCTGCGGCTGATTATTGCCGATCATTTCCACCTGGTTCCTCTACTATTTAAGTTGTGTGTTTGCCTCCCATCAGCGCCGGGTTATTCTTGTGTTTTTGAGATACGTTCCCCAGCAGTCTGTAGTCTGCCTGTTTCCCTGATATTGACCAGTTTCTGCCCTGAGGATTTCGAGTTTTTTGCCTTGCCCCTGTCTGCTCTGTTTGTCCTGTCTGATCCTGGATTCCACCGGCTTCTGAACCTGGAACTGTCGTCTGACTTCGGCCTTGGATTTCCCCTCTGGACTCTGTTGCTGCTCGGCGTCTGCTGCGCGCTCTCTAGGAACTCTGGGGGCGTCTCCCGCCGCACCTGCGGTCAAACCTCAGCAAACGGACTGAACTTTGAATCAGGTCAGTGACTTTGCTCCAAATCGTGTTAAGCTCCATATCCAGTCACTGATCTGTATTCTCCCATTTCTGCAGAGAGCCGCCCCGCAGCAGACGAGCAGCCCCGCGCACCTGTTTTTGCTAAATAAACGCTTTGAACTTTTCCACTGCCTGTCTCGCCTCGAATTCTGGGTCCTACATTCTGAGATCATTACAGAATGAGGTGGATGTTAAGAGGTTTTAGGAGAGTGGGTAACTTAGAATTTCCACAGAGTACAGATTTCTGATCTATCAGAATGAGATCGATGATCACTGATGTGATGGTGGAACTGGTCCAATGGACTTTCTGTAGAAACTGAAACGTCCTTCTTACCAGCATCCTTAGGGGATGGAGGGGAAGTGAGGAGGAGCTGAAAGAATCATCGAACTGTCCTGAAACTTATTCCACTCCTTCTTCCCTTTTTCAGTAGATCATTGATCAAGTTATAAGCTTTCATAAGCTCCCACCTACAGAGAATCACTACAAGCAAAACCAAAGCAACCACACAGCTATCCAGCTTGAACTGTTATGGTGTCAAACTTCTTCTAATTTATGCATTTTTATGATTGCATTTATTGCAGAAGTGTACATGTTATGAGTTTTATCACTTTTTTAAATTCTATCTAATAGGGCTGTAAATAATAATCGTTTTCTATCGATGCATCGATCCAACTGCCGACGATCTGATGCATCGACACGTCCGCAAGAATATCGATTCATGTTTTTTTTTTTTTCTTCTGGTCTATTCTTATCCATTTGCTGCTGGACATAATTCTGACTCCTATGCTCCGGTGGTTCTAAACCTATTTTGCCCTCCTACCTCGCTTCCTTTATCCACTACCCTATTTCCGCTCGTAGTATTTTTTGGATACAAGGCCTTTCAGAAACTATAATGCAGAGGCATTATTATTTTTCAATGAATGAGGTTTTCATAGGCCTAGGTGGAGTACGACTTTTCTACTTCTGTTATTTGCTGTTGTTTCTAGAATAAAGTGCATAACGATATTACAGCTTTCAATGATTTATTTTAAATTTGAAACATTGTCTAGCCTGTAAGGTAAAAATAAATAAATCAACTTATTAATCGAATCGTGGTGTATTCGTGAGTATCGAAAAGAATCGAATCATTGGGTCATGAAATTGATACTGAATCGAATCGCCATGATAGGTGAGATTTACACCCCGACTATCTACATTGGATGGTCTTCAAACAGTCAAATGCCCTGAGCCATGTAGTTTACAAAGAAACACAACCTGATGCTGGAATTGCTGATCAGTAAATCCCTTTTGGACTTGTTAGACAATAGTAGATCAGTTCATTGGTTTGTTTTTCTGATAAATGAATAAATCAATCAGGAAACTCAGTTTCTTATTGATCTCAAAGACTGAACTTTCGTTTGATCAATAAAAATAAAAAATATGTTTTGCTTTCCTACTTCATGGAAACGTGTTTTCAATTCAATTTAGTTTATTTCTATAGCTCCAACAACACATCATTCCGTAAAAGTTCGAAAAAATATCCACTGGACTTGGTTTCCAAGATTTGAAGACGTTTCGCCACCTCTCTAGTTTCCATGAAGTAGGAAAGCAAAACATTTTTTTTTTTTATTGATCAAAAGAAAGTTCAGTCTTTGAGAACAATAAGAAACTGAGTTTCGTGATTGATTTATTTATTTATCAGAAAAACAAACCAATGAACTGTCCAGTGAATATTTTTTGAACTTTTACGGCATGACTATGACCTGGATGACTGAGAATCTTCATCAGCAACATGTCATTTCAAGGCACTTTACAGTTCACCAGATCATCCAGTCAGATTGATTCAAAGTTTTCTATCTAAGGAAAACCAGTTGATTGCATCGACTCATTGACTAAAAGGCAATCCCTCACACTAAGCATGCTTGTAGCAACAGTGGAGAGGAAAAACTCCCTTTTAACAGGAAGAAACCTGCAGCAGAAGCACTTCTGTTTTATTGTTGAGATAAGTGAATAAATAAATCAGGAAACTGAGTTTCGTATTGATCTGACAGACTGAGCTTTGGGTTGATGAATAAAAAAATCAAATAAAGCCATCAGCCTTCCACTTTAAAAGGACTTGACTTTGTGTTTTTATTAGTTAGGGTGGCCAGGCTGTTTTATTAGATTGTGGTGTTTAACACCAAGATCTTCCTACTTCCTGGAAACACATCCTTCCCCTTTGACATTTAAAAACATCCATCAAAGCTTCCATTAATCCCGCGGTCTGCAGACCGAACCGAACCGAACCAGGACTCACCGCCTGCACCTCCTCCCTCCCCTCCAGATGTGTTTCCTCCGCTGTGGCTCCTTCCTCCGCGCGGCTGCCGCTCGGAGGCTCCGCCAGCCTCTCTAGGCACGCAGAGCCCAGCGAGGAGCTCTTATGGTGGGACTGAACCAGCTGAGCCACCGTGGGTTTAGACGCGCCCGTGGACCTGCGCTTGATGGAAGAGTGCATCTTCTCCCGGCCGAGGAGGGATCCGCTCCCGGCCGCTCTGCCGCTGATCGGAACCTCCTGAGAGGAGAAGAGCAGGTCGGGCTGAGAGGAGGAGATGACCCGGTCCAAAGCCACGGTCTCCTTCCGCCTTGTTTTCTTAAACATCCAAATGCTCCGTTTGCTCTGATCGTCCGGCTCTCTGCCGCTCAGTTTGGGACTCAGCAGAGGCTTTGCTTTTGCCTGAAACTGTTTCCACACCGAGCAGCTCTCATTCTCATCCGCTTCGCTTCCTTCCATCCCTCTGCTCAGAGACAGACTTACGCAACCTGAGAAAAAAAAACACGACACCAAAACCCGCACTACTCTGAAATACGGATGTGCAGGCTGGACATGTTCATCTGCACATCTGGCAGGAAGCCCCCCCCATCACCATCACCGCAGTGGGAGGGCACACAGAGCCTCTAAAATCAATCACAGATGCGTTTCCAGCAATGCCTTGGATCCTGCGCGTTCTGTTGGACCACAAGGCCACCATAGTTATAATAATCAGGGGGGGGGGGGGGGGGGGGGGGTGGGTTACCATTAGGCAATACAAGGCAGGTGCCTAGGGCCCCATGTTCCAGGGGGCCCCATAAAACTCTGGATACCTGTATAGTTAATACAACTATTCCTAATTTTTGCACATAAATTAAGTTTTTGATAAAAATCCTTTTGATAAAATGCCATCAGAAGATTTATAATATAAAATGTGTCTCAGAACCCCGCGACCACACCAGCCCCCCCCCCCCCACCCTCCAGCGTCCACCATTTTGGATCAGTCCATTTACGCACAATGTATGACGAAACCGCAGGGTTTACAGCTCACGATGTTTGTTCTCTCACTGTGCGACCAGACGCTCTGATGCGATCTACCTGCTCACACCGTACATCTATAAACCAGGTGGGACTCAGCTCCGCAGTGAGATGGCGCTACTCGGAATCGTCTATCCAAAAGCCAAACGAGTAGAAAAGGACAAAGAAGCTCTGTAGAGTGAAACGCGCTGCCTTGGTAATTTGTGCAATATTGTGCTGAAAGCCCTAAAAAGAAAAGGCGACGACGTATTTGGACAAATACATGACTGAGCAAACGCGGCTACTACGGTCTGTTAGTTTTACAGAAAGAACTCCATTTCATTCTCACCTCCACATCTCAGAAGAAGAAGAATCCTTGTTTGCGCACTGAGCGATTTGCCCACGACCACCTTCAGCCGACTGAATATCAAACATGATTTTCAACAGATTCCTGATCGGGAGGTGGTCGTGAGAGGCTGATCGCCCCTCGTTACCTCCTGTTCTCTGCTCGACGCACGACTAAAATATTCTTTCTGTCATGATTTGTGGAAATTAAGGTCCAGAGAGAAGCATCATCTCCTGGTCAGACCCTCTAATTCAGTGAAAGTAAAAAAAAATATGCAAGAGGGGGTCACTCCAATGGCTTGTAGTTGGAGGAGATTTTGTTGGGGCTGCCATTGGCATTTGACTGGAAAGATCCATTTGAATGGCTGCTACTGTAGCTACACCTTCCTATTATGGGTATTATATTATATAAGTTATGGGTAATTTTAGAAATATATTATAGGCTTCCAAAAAATGGCCAGAAAAAATTGAGGCTGTGGGCAGTATGGGGGGGGGGGGGGGGGGGGGGGGTTTCATGGGAGCTCATAACAAAAGAGTAAGAAATAATTCAAAATTTAAAAAAACATGGAAAGAGCACATTGGCTGAAGGTTTAAAGGAGAAGTCGGGTCACATTCAGAATTCAAACACATGAAAGTACTTTAAATATGAAATTATTACATACTGTTAAATAAATGATAAGTGTTTTTAATTAAAAGTAATTTTTATTTGAATGTGCTTTACTGGAGGCATCGATGTCTGTGAAAGAACACTACTGCCACCTACCGGTTTGTAAAATCACGGTGCGGTATCGGCTGTTGATCAAGTCCCAGTGCTGTATCTTGTGTTTGTCACAACGCGCTTATTATCCAAGTCATCTTGAAAACATTCTTCTTCCAAATGTTCTTCTTCGAAACCGTCCATGGAGGATCAGGAAACGTAAAGGTGAAATAACTAATGTTTTTTTTCAATTTTACCCGATGTATTCCAACATCCAACTGCCATGCACGTGGGCATTGTCAGTTTCACTATAGCTCTGGTGAATTTCAATGTTAAAGTCCTCTGGAAATCTTCAATAATTGTTGTTGATTGCAGATGTGTCCAGTAGTTCCCATTGATTTTGCTTCTAAGGTGGGGAGAATGGCGCTAGGCTTACACTGAAAAAATAATGCTATTGCGTTTGGCATTTACTTAATCATATTCAGCTACTTTAACACACTTGTTTTCTGTCCTACCCTGCTAACATGAAACAATTGTGTTAAAGTAACTAAATATGATTAAGTAAATGCCGAAAACATTGGCATCATTTTTTGAGTGTACCGTACCGTGACATTACTGCCAGAAGACGTCTGGAGTAAGGTGTTACTATATTTGGTAAAAAAAATGGCCGCTCCCAGACTCAGTGATCAAAAGGAAAATGATTGTTTTTACTTTTTCAGTGGTTCATGCTAAACGGAACATAAATGCAGTATAAAATAGATACGGTGATATTCAACATTTTTGAACACAAGCAACCTCCATCAAAGAATCAGTGAATATTAGAGTTCAGGTGATTATTGCTGTCAGAAAGAAGCTGTTTTTCAGACTGTCTGTTTTAAATCTGTTGCTCCTGCAGCGCCTCCCTGAGGGCAGCAGGTCAAACAGGTTGAGGCCAGGTGGGAGCTGTCCTTGGTGATGAATTAGCTCTAATGAGGCAGTGGCAGTGTAAATGTCCACCAGAGAGGGACGAGGGCAGACGACCATCCGCTGGGCTGCCTTGGCTTACTTGTACATCACTTGGATCCGACTCCAAACCAACAACATGGTGCAGGGTTTTGAAGATCAATAAATATCATTAGAATATTGTCTTTTGCCTAGTTTGAACAGTGGTTCCCTTAGGAAGGCATAATCTGTGAAAATAACCCATAAAGCAGAGGTTTTAGCTCTTTTATATTTATCTAATAGGAATTGTTAGGTGTGTAAATAAGGGGTGGATTATCAAATTATGTAACGTTGATACATTTCAAACCAAACGAGACGCTTAAACAGAGACTAGTGCATCCTAAGGACAAAACCCCCAGACCACATATAAGCGTATAGAATGGTGTCTGCAGTTCAATGCAGTGAGGAATGCTCTGATCTTCATACTGGAGGAACCAAACAACCTCTCCACAGACGCATGGCCCAGCACAGAAGAGCGGCATCCTCTGGACAAGACTCTGCGGTACATCTACACCTTATGGATGAAAGACATTCTGTGGAGGAACAGAATGCTCACATTTTGGACAAAGAAGAAAGGTGGTTTGAGAGAGTTAAGAAAGAAAAAACAACCTTAAACAGAAGGGGTTAAATCAGGTTTCAGCTTTCAAAAACCTACAATGCAGCAATAGAGTTAATCCCTTCCTGCTATCATCCCCAACCCCTTTACAGCGGGAAACAAGACCTCGCCTGTTCAGCCAGACCAACAATTCCCTTTAACGGCCCTCCTTTCAGAGACATAGACAGGTATGTGGCATTGCAGGCCAACAAAGAACCCAAATGACCCCCATTCCAAAGGGGTGGACCCATTAGTCCGTTTCAATTTGCATTTTTTCTAAAAGAAAACAAGGCTTTGTTGGGCTACTGTATAAAGCCTTGAACTCAACGGTATTTCTGACATTTGAATTGAAAAAGCTTCCTCGATGAGAAACGTCTTCAAACCTGGAAACAAAGTCCAGTGGATTGTTTTTTTTTACTTTTTTGGAATGTAAAGTTGAGAACTTTTTCGATTACAGACAGAATTTACAGGATTTTTTTTTACATCACACTTTTAAAAAAACATATGAAACTCCTGTGACAATTTTCTCATCTTTTTATTACAATCACAAAATAAAAACAGTGAAGATTCAATTTTTTTTTACATCCAATCGCACTGAAAAACAAAACAAAACAGAATAAATGTACAAAAAGAAGTCTTGCAGTCCTGAGTGCTGGAAACCTCTCCTGTTGTCAGGAAGTTCAGTAAACACATTTAAAAGCTGATTTTATTCCCTTTACACATTGGGTAGATTTAATTTGACATGATCAAAGTTGGAAAAATTTAACTTTTGCTGCTGGACGCGCCACATCAACCAATCAGAGAAGCTGATCTGGGAGCTGGCAGGAAGACAGACACAGCGCTGCTGATGCAGAGCGCTATGATCACTCCACTGAAACAGTTTATTAACGCCTAAATTAACTTAAAATGGCAAAATGATGGCAAAACATGTTCGCTTTAATTATCCTGGTGCCTACAGTTTGGATTACGTACATGAAAAACGCCTTCCAGCCGCCGCTGCAAACGCGAAGAGGCAACCGGGCCAGAGGCTGCTGTTGAAAGGGATTCCTAGTGACAGCGCACCGCCGGTATGTGGTGCTCTGAGAGGCTCCGATTGGCAGAAATAATATCTGAAGGGCAGGGTGGCAATCTGGATGAACTGACTGCACAGATGAAGTTTTCAGGCGGACTTTCTCACTTAAAAACATTAAAACTACTGTTTACCCACTGATCACAGCACATACAGCTGCCATTGTTACAGGCAAATAGATGAGGGGTTGCTCCTCCCAACGCACATCACACCCACTTTTTCCACCACGCAGCTAGAGCAGCAGAGATGCTTCAAGAAATGAAGCAGCACGTGTGTTTTTTTGCTCTTGCTGCTTTAGGTGTGAACAACTTGTTTTTTATGTTACTTGTTCAATTCAGTTCAGTTCAGCACCAATTCACAACACATGCCATCTCAAGGAACCAAAGATTACTACTAAAAAGGTCTTCCTGGTTAATTAGATGTTTAACAAAAAGAGAAATAAAACAGAAATAAACGAACAGATCCTTAATGCTGCTTTGTCATTTTTCACAGACAGAGACGATTATCTCTCTCTTCCCTCTTCTGCCTGCATACTTTCCACATCACTTATCATCTGGGCAAAGTCCTTTTTCTAATTGCATCTGTCTTAAGGATGTAAATAAAAAATCGACTCTGCTTTTCCAAATCCTCCAGAGTAGCGCAAAGTCTCCACCTCAGCACCTGTTATTAACTGCACATATATGCCTAGTAGATCCCCTGCAACACACCCAGTAAATGCACAACCAATTAAGGGAGCCTGATTTAGTAGATCAGGCTTTTTACGAACAATTACTCCGCATTCAGTCGTGGATCAATGCTTGTTTGGTTCTACTGGAGGATTCTTCCTGTGAAAAGGGAAGGTTTCCTCTCCACTGTCGCTACAAGCATGCTTAGTGCGAGGTCGATGCAATCAACTGGTTTTCCTTAAAAAGAAAACTGAATCAATTTAACTGTTTGATCTGGTGAACTGTAAAGTGCCTTTAGATGACATGTGATGTGAATTAGCGCTATGGAAATAAACTGAATTAAATTGAATTAAAGAGGGAACCAAAGTTACCAAACTGAATGTTACACAGTTGTTGCAGGAGTTATTTAACTTTGGTGAGAAAAACTTTTTACCTTCACCTCTACTGGGACTTGACGTTATTTGATCAATGAAAAATAATAAAGTTTGAACTTTGTGAAATAATTTATTATTGTGCTTTTTTAAAATAATTTGACATAAATTTGATTTTTTTTTCAAACCTTCCTTGAAACATTTGACTGTTCTGTAGAACAGTATCTAATTACAAGATAATATTTCATAATTACGAGATACTGATCTCGTAATAATGAGATAAGGTGTCTGATTTTATTTTTCTCTGGAGAATGCAGTACGTTTACGTAGGACCAGACACAGAGAAGAATTTGTTTTCTTATTTTGCATCCAATTTATATTTTATAGACAATTAGATTCACATTCCCAGGGACATGTAGTGTTAAATTAAATGGTACTGACTATACTTGATCCATTCTTTCTCTGTGAAATGAAAGGTTTATTGTGATTTATCAGTTCAGTTATGTTAGCACGAACTTTTTCAAGACCATAAACACAACAAGTTTTCTATGATGTGAAATGTGTTGCTTTGAGAAAAGCAAAAATAAAGATTGTTTTGCTTGTATTTTAAAGCCAAAAAAACCCTACAACTCCAGATTATACAGCTTGTCTCATTGAGGTCCAAGATCTCATTTACAAAAGAAATCTGTCAAAATATTATTTTTCTTTTATGTAAATACGGTCTTGGCACCGGTTGGTGTGGTCTTTACCACAACATTAGCAAATACTGCATCATTCTGGTCACTTTAACCTAATGTTTATGGTTTATATCTATACTCACTTGGCTAAAGACTGCAATAAAGAGAAAGCATGCCAATTCAAAAACACTTCTGTTCTCACCCCATCCCTGAAAGGAGGGCAGCAGAAAGGATTAAACTGTGTGTGTGAGATTATCACTGCTGTAAAATGGACGGTCAGAGGTCACAGGTCCTGCCCGTGCATCTGTTGCTGCATCTTCTGAAGCATCTGCTGCATCCTCTTCAGCTGCAGGAGATGAAAACAGAAACATGGAGATGGGAACAGCATAAGGCAGGGCAACAACTGGCCAACCAAAATTACACACAACTTTAAGCATTTCATAATTTGTCACATTATGAACGCTTTTTATATATGGAGAGAAATTTGTTCCAGGATTAATGAAAGCAAAGGAAATTCAAAGAAAAAGCATTTGAAAAATGAAAAATCACTTATTAAGAAAAAGGCTTTAAGTAATTTTTTTAATGGGTACGAAGAAATGCAAACTACATTTTTACAAGTTTTTCCCAGTTTTTTTTTTTTTATTCATTTTCCGAATATTACTTTCAGTTTAGGTGAACTCTGACTCCTCCGGCTCACAGGTCAGTATTGGTAGCTCATCCTATGACTCTCAGCCTAAAAAAGGTTGATGAACCCTGACCTGAAACCTCCTGCCTGACCGCCATCACTCACCTCTTCATCTTTCTTCTTGATGAGCTTCTCTGTCTCCACGGTCGGGGCAGGTAGGGGCAGAATCGGGATGGGGCTCTCCACCCGCTTATCTGCGTTCATCTTACTGCAATAGAGAAAACAAACACACTATGACCAATAACAGGGGTACGCATGAAGTCTGACTGCTGCTTAACAAAACAGTTTCTGCAGATCCATTCAGGGATAATGAGACTTACCGTATTTTCACGACTATAAGGCGCACTTAAACGTCTTTTTTCCTCAAAATGTACGGTGCGCCCTTTGGTGCGGTGCGCTCTGATGACATATTATATTAACGCAAATGAAAAAGGCTGGATGGATGAGGAGATGATGAAAGCATGGCTGAGGCAGGTGTATGTAAGGAGACCAGGTGGTTTTTTTCCACGCATCACCATCGCTGCGTGCCCATCTCACAGCCGATGTGAAAAAAAAGGTGAATCAAATGGATGCTGTGCTCGCCGTTATCCCGGGGGTCTGACAAAGGAACTTCAACCACTCGACATCGGTGTGAACCGGCCTTTCAAAGTAAGGCTGCGAGCGGCGTGGGAGCGATGGATGACCGACGGAGACCACAGTTTCAGGATAAGTGTAAGGCAGCGCCGGGCAAGTTACGCCACCGTTTGCGGATAGATTGTAGATGCTTGGACTAACGTGTCTGCTGGCTCTGTTGTTCAAGCTTTTGCAAAAGCCGGCATTATTTCTGAGGAGCCGCACGGCACGGAAAGTGACTCTGACAGCGAAGAAGGGGAAATTGGCATGTCTGATTTAGCGCAGCTGTTTAATTCAGAAACAGAGGATGATGACTTTGATGGGTTTGATTAATACTTTGTAATAAATACATGAATAAAGCACAATCATACTCAGTTTTGCTCCCGCTCTATTTTTCTACCTGAAAACTTAATTCAACAGCAGCCTCTGGGCGGGTCTCCTCCTCTTCACCGCGGTGGCTGGCAGGTGTTTTTTCATCTAAATAATCTAAATCTTGCAGCTATATTTGCTGTGATCAGGGGGAATAAAGTAGTTTTAATATGTTTTTAAGTGAGAAAGGCCACCTGAAAACTTAATAATTGCAGTCAGTTCATCCAGATTATCTATTTCTGTCGGAGGCGCTCAGACCCCCACATACCAGCGGTGCGCCGACAGTAGAAATCCCTTCATCAGCAGCCTCTAGGCTGGGTAGCCTCCGGGTTCACGCGGCTGCTGCAGGTCTTTTTTATCTAAATAATTTAAACTGCAGGCACCAGGATACCAGTAATAAAAGCAAACATATTCCGTCGACAGGTTTCAGGATTTTAAGTTAATTTAGGAGTGATCACAGCGCTGTGTCATCTGCGATGTGTCTGTCTCACGGCCAGCTCCCAGGTTTGATTAATACTTTGTAATAAATACATGAATAAAGCACAGTCATACTCAGTTTTGCCCCGGCTGTATTGTTAAATACGCAGTAGAGGTATTTAAAGGTAGTAGAGGACATGTACCTGTATATAAAAAACGCGCCCTATAGTCCGGTGCGCCTTATGTGTGTGTTAAATACAGAAATGGGACACATAACTGAGAGTGCACCTTTTAGTACGGTGCGCCTTATGGTCGTGAAAATACGGTAAGTCTCTTATTTCTTCACTAATAACGAAAACTCTCATCTTTTACTTACTAAGCTAAAGGTGGGAAAAATATGGACCTATATTTTAGTTGGATAAGCATTTTTATCCTGATAACAATACAGGTAATGAGTGAATCCATCAGTTTAGCACCGCTGTCATCATAGTCCGTTTGAGTCACAGAAACATAAATACTGCCTTTAAATAGAACGCAATGAAAGCATTAAAACCATATTTTAATTCTATGAAATATTTGCTTTCATGGAACCAAGAGAGAGGAAAAAAATCTCATAAAATAAAACTGAAAATTCTTCTACTGAGGCCATTTTTGCTGCATCAGCGCTTAAATTTAATTTTTATTGCTGTAAACTACTGAGTAAGTTTTGTTGCATTATTGTTCCAAGCAAAGAACATCCTAGAAAAAAATAAAAATAATGACTTTGCTGTTTTATCAAATTTTATAAAAAAAATATAGAAAAAAATAAATCTAATCTTTAATTTTTCAAACTTTTTCAAAACAGCTTTAAAATGTTAATATATTTATTTTTTTTAGATTTAGTTTTTTGAATTGCTGTCTTTTCATATTGTGTTTCACAGACCACATTTTTTTCTCCTGCAGTCCATTACAAACAAACACTCGGCCAAATAAACTGTTTCTGCAAACGTCTTTACACACCAACAGAAATTAGATGGATGTTTTAGATTTTATCTTTTTCATTTTTTATTTGATTTTTTAATGAGAAAATTTTCAAAGTTTAATTTCTGGACTACTCTCTTTTTTTATTTCCACTTCCATTTTTGTTGCTAGCTGGTTATTATTTTTTGTCACACCAGCTCCTCTGCTATGACCCACACACCTCTGATCCATCACCCTAATCAGCAGATGAAGCCATTTAAGGACAGATCCTCCCCCTGCACGGCGTCAGATTGTTGTCTAACGCCAGTAGTAACACATTCAGGCCATTTTACTAAATAGACCAAGTCTAGCAAGATCTAACCTGCTTGTTTTGTTTCTCTCTTTGTTTACTGCCTGTCTGAACCTGAACCCCCAACCTTGGATTCCCTGGCTTTGACCCTGTGCTTGTCTGACCAAGATTACCTGGATTGTACAAAAATAAACCCACCAAGCGTTGCCAACTGCTCAGTCCTAGTGTCAATCTATGCCTGAAGTGTGACATTTTTATTATTTTTGTTGCTAGATAGAATCTTTTATATTAGATTCTTCTATTGTTTTTTATTGAGAAGTGTTTCAAAGTTTAATTTCAGGACTATTTTTTCTTTTTATTTATTTCCACTTTATATACCACTTTTTTTTACTAGCTGGTTAGTTATTTTTGTTGATATTTTTGTTGAAAGCAAAAAAAAAGAACAAAATTCCCTGCATACACTGTCTTCATCTTCTTCTGACACCATTAATGACGGTCGAAGGAAGGAAGGAAGGAAGGAAGGAAGGAAAGAAGGAAGGAAGGAAGGAAGGAAGGAAGGAAGGAAGGAAGGAAGGAAGGAAGGAAGGAAGGAAGGAAGGAAGGAAGGAAGGAAGGAAGGAAGGAAGGAAGGAAGGAAGGAAGGAAGGAAGGAAGGAAGGAAGGAAGGAAGGAAGGAAGGAAGGAAGGAAGGAGTGCAATCCAGATAATGGAAGTAGGAACACAATATTTAAATTTAAGAAATACTGATATTTTTCAATGCTTTTGATTTATTTTTTCAATACTTATCTACTACTAAAAAATACTGAAATTTGATTCAACTCATCCAAACTTTTTAGGACCATTTCGGAACCCTGACAAAAGTTCATTTGTTGGCTTGTAGAGGAGATCTCTACATGTTATAAATTACATGTTTTTTGGTCCAGCCAACAATCAAGAAACAGCACAGTAAGTTTTGCAACCTTAACTTTTCCATGCAGTGGTCCAAAAAACATAAATAAGGTCTGGCAGGGGACCCCCTCATTGCAAACATACACTCGCCGGCCACTTTATTAGGTACAACTGTCCAACTGCTCATTAACACTTAATTTCTAAGCAGCCAATCACATGGCGGCAACTCAGTGCATTTAGGCACGTAGACATGGTCAAGACAATCTCCTGCAGTTCAAACCGAGCATCAGTATGGGGAAGAAAGGTGATTTGAGTGACTTTGAACGTGGCATGATTGTTGGTGCCAGAAGGGCTGGTCTGAGTATTTCAGAAACTGCTGATCTACTGGGATTTTCACGCACAACCATCTCTAGGGTTTACAGAGAATGGTCCGAAGAAGAAAAAACATCCAGTGAGCGGCAGTTCTGTGGGCGGAAATGCCTTGCTGATGCCAGAGGTCAGAGGAGAATGGCCAGACTGGTTCGAGCTGATAGAAGGGCAACAGTGACTCAAATAACCACCCGTTACAACCAAGGTGGGCAGAAGAGCATCTCTGAACGCACAGTACGTCGAACTTTGAGGCAGATGGGCTACAGCAGCAGAAGACCACACCGGGTGCCACTCCTTTCAGCTAAGAACAGGAAACTGAGGCTACAATTTGCACAAGCTCATCATATTGGACAATAGAAGATTGGAAAAACGTTGCCTGGTCTGATGAGTCCTGATTTCTGCTGCGACATTCGGATGGTAGGGTCAGAATTTGGCGTCTACAACATGAAAGCATGGATCCATCCTGCCTTGTATCAACGGTTCAGGCTGGTGGTGTCATGGTGTGGGGAATATTTTCTTGGCACTCTTTGGGCCCCTTGGTACCAATTGAGCATCGTTGCGACGCCACAGCCTACCTGAGTATTGTTGCTGACCATGTCCATCCCTTTATGACCACAATGTACCCAACTTCTGATGGCTACTTTCAGCAGGATAATGCACCATGTCATAAAGCTGGAATCATCTCAGACTGGTTTCTTGAACATGACAATGAGTTCACTGTACTCAAATAGCCTCCACAGTCACCAGATCTCAATCCAATAGAGCATCTTTGGGATGTGGTGGAACGGGAGATTCGCATCATGGATGTGCAGCTGACAAATCTGCGGCAACTGTGTGATGCCATCATGTCAATATGGACCAAACTCCCTGAGGAATGCTTCCAGCACCTTGTCGAATCTATGCCACCAAGAATTGAGGCAGTTCTGAAGGCAAAAGGGGGTCCAACCCGTTACTAGCATGGGGTACCTAATAAAGTGGCCGGTGAGTGTACATACAATCCTACAAAGAACGTTAAAAAAAATTTATTTTCGGGTTAAAAACAGGAAAGATTTCTTAAAATATGTGTATTTGTCTGTAATGTAAGCAGGTAAATGAGGTGATCTGCCAATGAAATGAGTATTTTTGATAATTAGATATTATACGCTTGAAAAAGGATAATGGAGAAATGTATTCTTTTTTTTATTTTAATTCCATTGGCAAATTCTCTGACCTGCTAAAAATAAGGTTAAATACACATATTTCCAAAGAAAATGACTTACTTTTATTTCATAGTTTGGCAGTGTACGTTTGTTTTAAACCTGTATATCTTCCCACTGAATAACAAATGTTTACACAAACATTTAAGACAGGCAGGGGCGAGCATTTGTTGATGATAAAACAAACATAAGAACCTCTCAGGTGTGTGTGTATTGGAAGGACTGGGCTTACACTGTCCATCAGAAACATTCATATCTCTTCTTCCAGTGGTCATAATGCTCAGCTTTAAATCTTCATATTATTATTATAGGTAAGGTTTGATGATTTCAAAATACTATATTCCAAGATAAAACAATTTTTTATCTCTTTTTTTTATTTTTTGCTTATTTTTCTTCCCCTTCTGAGGCCTCCACTAGAACCCCATGACAGCCCCCACTTTAAAAACGCTGTTCTACATATCATTGATGTCTGACAAAGAGAACAGCAAAAAATACAACATTCTGTGACGATAAATCCCAGCTCGTTAAAGTCACTGCTGACTTTAAATGGCATCTTAATCCATGGGACTAAATTAGGATTTGATCGTTAATCTGAAAGAGATCTAAAGCGGAAAGCCTGACTGTTCTACACTAGGGTCAACTGGGAACCTGTTTTAACTGTTACTGTGCCAAAAACGGTCCGACAATAACCTTATCAACCTATACTAGTAATAGACATTTGATCCTTTCAGTAGTTTTATTTTTCATGGTGGGGGATTAAAAATTTTAGATAAAGTGAAATCAATAGTTTAAAACTAGTAATAGTCATTTCCAACAGGAACAACCTGAAATATGAAATTAAGTAAATGATTTGGCCTTTTGACATATTTCATTTTAGAGCCATTCAAGGCTCTTTTTTTTTGTGTGGATCACCAAATACAAAAACAGGTGGCCACCCGGCATGTTAATTCTCTTCTCAGCTCTTTATGTGTAACAGTTCATTAATAGAAGCAAAAATCAAAACTACCCACCAAGACAATACAGTGTGTAAAACAAACCTACACAGCGAAAATATGACATAAAAGTGGTCAATTTCTTTTGAAATAATAAATATATTTAACCTTATTTTTAGCAGGTGGGGGAATGGTGTGGTGTGGCCTGAATAAAGCCATTAGAATGGCTTTAAAAGGGTCACAGAATGCAAAACCAAGTTTCCCTTATCATAGATGAATAATGATAGTTCAGTGGGTGAAATGGGCGTGCAGGGAAGTTGAAACCACATCGAGAGCCCCTTTCTTTTCAAATTTCACATTACCAATCTATTCCATAAAATGGGCAAATTCAAACAAAGCCCCTGGTTGACGTCAATTCGGGGATGTTGCATCATTTGGTTCTGGCCTGTACTTTTGTCACGCCCCGCAATTGACATACAGATCAGCCTACAGTTGGGTTTACTTCTACAAGAATTACAAAGCAGGAAGTTCCTCTACTGAAAATGAGTCAGAACCACGGGCGTAAATGCAGTGTTCCAGGCAGCATGGAGGAAGGGGAACATTTTCAATCTTCCCAACGATCCGAAGACTCCACAGGCATGGATTATTTTTGTATTTTAGAAGATCACTGAAAGGTTTGATGCTCAGCTGTTCATTTGTTCAGAGTATTTTATCAAGGACAGTTTTCAAAATCTTGGACAGTTCAAAGCAGGATTTGCCAAACCTCTTTTACTGAAACGAGAGGCTGTTGTAACCGTAAGGCCATTACAACTGCAAGCTGGGAGTATGATTCTGTCGCTAAGCTGTTGATAGCAATGCTATCAGCTCCGGAGCTGGTGGCTCATGGGGAAGCACGGGGCTCGTGGGGCAGCATGGGGCCGCGGCTAACGTCACCAAGTCGGGTATGGTCGCCACGTCCCCATCCGCAAGAGTTCCCGGATCAGCCCCGGAGCTGATGGCTAGGTTCTGCAGCACTTTAGTTGACCAAAATCCCGGACGATTTTTAAATTCCCCCAGACATTTTTTTAGGTATGAAAAGTAGGACATGTCAGGGAAAAAGAGGACATCTAGTCACCCTTTCATTCTAGGCTTTTTAACCTGGCTTGCATTAGGTCTCATAGAACAGTAAATATACCATTTTCAGCCCAACCAATGTTACACACCCTATTCAGAGACCTTAAGGACCAACACCAAATACCCTATAGAATCATTCTATCACCCCTTTAATCAGAATATCACAGCAATGTGGGATGAAGATGTTTTTCCAGTAACTGCTAAATAATTAATGCATTTAGACCATTGCGGTTAAATAACGTTTTACATGTTTTTTTCCAAATTTCTGTGTAAGTGCATTAAAGAGATCATGTTACATTCCCACTGTTACACACGCCGAAGTTGAGCAGGTATTTTTACACCCCGGCTCTGTTCTCGCCCATACATCTGCAGACACTTCCCAGAGAAGCTCCATCTGCACATCATCCATCCCACACTAGGGATGCTGCTGTGGAGCAGTTTCCACTGGGATCTTTTTCTTCCTGCATCCTGCTGTGAAAGCAGTCCTCTACCTTAAAAGACTTTTCAGTTCTGGTTATTATTCATGTATAAAAACAAAACCATGAAAAGTCAGTAATGTCAGCCTTATGACATGATTTTCTACAAATCTAGTTTCTCTGACAGAACAGAAGAGAACATTTAGAACTGTTAAGATAAAAAAAAAGTATATTTTTTGTGTGTTTGTCTCTCTTCTGCACAAGCTTCATCAATCTGACAGCAATCCTGCACAGTTAAAGCAGAAAACATATTTTTTCACAGGAGAATAACCTGTTTGCATAAGTCAGAGTTGTCCTGAAGGGCCTGTAACCTGCATCGTTTAGTTCTTTTCCTTCTTCAACACACTGAAATCCAGTTGGACCATTAGAATCAGCTGTGTTACCATCTACAGCTAGCAGGACGTTGACCTCTGAGGACTCTGGTGTTTACAACAAACTAAAAATGTCAGTTTTAAGCAAACTTAAAAAGTTTGAATAAAAAGGGAATGCGAATTTGCTGTTTCCATTTGGTCTGAAGCGAATCAGCCAAGTGACACAAAGAGCAATGTCTTCATATGCTGAAGTCCACTTTACATCGTCACATATGGCTGCAAGTAACAGGAAGTAAAGGCTACACTGAACACGGATCAGTAATGGAGTAAAGTTAATAAATGTAAGGTTAATAAAGGTGTAAGGATAGTAAATGTGTTGCTGTTGGGCAAACTGTTCCTACATTAACATTTCAGCTAGTCATGTCGATGTTGCTTCCAGCTGTGTTTACGTGCATAAAAAGAACATCCGTAAAGACGCTGGTCAGCTGATCAGCCATGTGTACATGTATTAACTATACATGTACATGTTTACATGTATAGTTAATACAGCTATTCCTTATTTGTGCACATTAATTATGCTTTTGAAAAAAAATCCTTTCGCTAAAATGCCATCAGAACGCTTATAATATTAAGTGTGTCTCAGCCACCACCCCCACCCCCCCTCAGTGTTCACCATATTAGATCAGTCCATTTGCTGCACATGTTCAGAAAGGTCCAAATAGACAGCAGCAAACCATTTGAAAACAAATGATACGAAGAGCATTGTTGCTAACTTAGCTCTTTTGTCACTATTTTTAGCAACTTTTCAGACCCCTCAAGCACTTTGACCCTGTAATGCCAAATGTATCATATTTGATACATACGGTTTCTGAAATGTTTTGCGTCTGACACCTTTTGCATAATTTAATGGTAAAAAATTTGCTCAAAATCCTATTGTACACAATCAGATATACCTGACAGCCAGTAGAAGACTACACAAAGATAATCTTGACTTATCGCATAGTAATAAATTATTAATATCAAAAATGTATTTCTGTTTTTTCTTTTTACATATTTTGTTAAAATGCCAAATAAAGACTTCAAACCCAAAAAAGTCATTTTCTGTTTTGTTTTATTCTTGGATCTGGCTTTAAAGGGTTAATTTAAAAAAAGCACCAAGCACCAAATCTAGCAATTTCTTTCTGCCACTGGAGACTTTGGCAACAACATATAAAAGCAGCGAACTGTGCTCTCCAGAGCAAGTAGATTGGTAACCCCGCTTCCTGCTCTCCTCTATCTTGTCTGCTGTCATAATTCATGGAGCTATTATTTCATTCAAATGAAAAATGGAGAACAGATAAGCAGATCATGGCTTGTCTACAGTGAAAAGAAGGAATGGGTTATTTACTTTTGCCGTCGTCTTTTTAGAAGCTCAGGAAGGTACAAAACATAGAGAGGAAAAGAACAAGAAAAGGGAGAAGAAGAGAGGGACAAACCCAATAACATTAATGTATGAGTATTCTATTAAAATTTCTGTATCTGTATAATGGGTCTTTTTTCTGTGTTGTATTCTCAGTTCAGAGGGCCCCCTGCCTGTCTTTGCCTGGGGCCTAAAATTTTCTAAATCCACCCCTGATGTGAGATAAAAGTTAGCTTCAGCAAAGTTGATGTAAAAAAAGTGTTTCCATCTCCCATTTTGTACATCAACCCATTTTCACAGATGGAAGAGGATAGTAGATTAGTTTGAGGTTTTACTGAGACGCATTCTAACGGTAAGTTCTCTATGTTGCATGATGTTGCAACCATGTGGTTTTTGCTCACCTGGTCATGTTCTGGATACACTGGGCCCTGTAGTTTTCATAGTGACAGTCATTAGTCGAGTCCTTCAAGTCGTGCATGTGCGTTCTTATCAGCATGTTCCGGAGCTTTACAAAGTCACAGTGGGATGGGTTCTCCACTGCGGAAACAGATCAATATCAGAGCCAGACCATTACCAGGACAGACAGCTGTGGCTTCCAGCTGTGTCTTACCCTCCACGATCCCCCACGGGTAGAGGCGCCCCCTTACTCTCTGCCCTCGAACCTCGAGCACCGTATTCCCACCAATCACTGCAAACGGAAAGCTTTCCTGCAGGATCAACACAGACATGGGAGCATCCTGCTATTTCATAACAAGGCTTAGAAATAACATCTGGAACACAACAATAACTAAAGAGCTTAAATATACTTTTGAAAACAACACCTGAGCAACAAACAAAGATATATTTAGATTTTCATTTCAAATCAGACCTACCTTCAGCCCTTTATCTTGCTGTTTAACTTCCTCGTCTTCATCAGAGTCACACTCAGGGAACTGGTAGACCTTTATCCCAAACTTATCAATCTCTTCCCTCACCTGGAAGAACAAAACACAACAAAGATGAGACTGATAAGACGAACTATCTCTATAGTTATGCTGTTATAGGCTTAGACTTCTGGAGGACATAGGGACCCCTTTTTTCATCATTCTGCTTCATTCTATCTTTATTCTCCCACTCTGCAGAATCTGTTAGTTCAATCTCTAACATTATTCTCTCTCTGTTTTTTCTCATAGTAGCTTCATCTGGTCTGTTTCTGTTTGGCTGTGACTCCATCCCGGAGAGAAATATCAGCTGTGCTGCTGCCATAAACACCTTTGTTTATAGATGTTGGAGATTGGCCTGTTTTTCAGTGTAGTCCTGTTTCTCTGACTTTGACTACCTGGATGTGCTCTCTTCATCCTCTGACATGGGAGCAGGCTGGGAGCTTGTCTGCCTGGCTGTGTGTTTCCTAGACGTGGAGCTGGTTTACTGTTGCCTTTTGTATCTATGCTTCTTTTTCTATGTCTGCTTCTGTCTCCTCGAACCCCAGTCAGCCTCGGCAGATGGCCGCTAACACTGAGCCTGGTTCTGCTGGAGGTTTCTTCCTGTTAAAAGGGAGTTTTGCCTCTCCACTGTCGCTACAAGCATGCTTAGTTTGAGGGGTTGCCTTTGAGATGCCTAGATAGAAAACTTTTAATCAATGTGACTGGATGACCTGGTGAACTAAAGTGCCATGAGATGACGTGTTGTGAATTGGTGCTATATAAATAAACTTAACTGAATTAAACTGATAACAACAGGATCACCATGTAGGAGTCAGATTCAGCAGAAATGACAGATTGTCTGTGTGAAAGTTTTACACATCACCTAAACCTTTGGGGTTGTCTGACATTAAGGCACGGAAACTGATCTTTTTGCAATCTGCATGTTACAGATTAGCCAATATATATCAGTGTCACAGCTCGACATGGCACACATTGTCTTTCAAAGGTAAAACCAAGAGCCCGGTCAAATTTAAGGTTTCAAAGTTTGAATTACAGGCAAAGTGTGGTCACATTCAGAATACAAACTTCTGAAAGTACTTTAAATATAAAATAATTAGCCTGGAACAGAGAGGAGAAACAATGGAGCAGAGCCACCAATTCAATGACTCATTCATGAAGAAAAGCGGTTGTTAAAGTCCCTGTGATTTGATTAGAAACATCTATGATCTAAAGATCTGTTGCCTTCATGAACACACATTACTGTTACTCAGTGTTATACTGAATTCAAATGAATGGTTCACTGTTACTTTCACACAGAAATACTGGGATTAAACAGTTGGGATTAAACAGTCCTGCTGGGATTATTTTGTGCAATAATGTGATCTCCTTTTATATATATACTTAAATATGTCCTTATATTTTCGATTTCCTGCCTATTTTGATGGCTGTGAAAAATGTAAAGATCCTTAGTTAGGCTTTTTAGTTTGTTTATGGCAATATAAAAAATGAATCTACATAATCATATCGTAATTTACTAATCCAGTCATACACCAAAATGGTTTGGATTGATATACAAAACGTTTAGATATATAGTCATTTTAATTATTTATATAAAATATCTTATATTTCCTAATTTAATTTTTGGGTGTATTTAAAATTCTAATAAAGGAAAAGTATCCAAATACATTTGGATTCAAATGCATTTTAGATGAAAAAAGGTAACTGCATATTTACTTTGACTAGTAAGTAGTTAATTTTATTGGCAGTAATTGAGCTAGAATCTAATGTTCCTGATCCAGGGTTCTTAAAGTGGAGAAGGCTTTACTCTTTATCTCTGTTTTTATGAACTGTTGTTTTTTCTTAGCAAATTTGGCTCCTGCAGACGACGGTTACCTGTTCTTTGAGCTTCTTTATCTCAGAGCGAGTCAAGCAGTCAGCTTTAGCAATGAGAGGAACCAGGTTGACTTTATCCTGGAGGGCCTTCATGAACTCTACATCAATGGGACGAAGCCTGTGAGAAGATTTTTTTACAAAATACATTTAATACCACAAAAAATATTTTTCCATCGGATTTTCTCTGTTTTTGATTTTTGTTTTACTTTAATGTGTTATATAATATACTAAGTTTAATATACCAGCTGGAAAAATTGGAAAAACAGATTTTAGAAATAACTCAGATAGTCTTTGTCATATATATATATATATATATATATATTAGTGCTGTCAATCGATTAAATTTTTTTAATCGCGATTAATCGCATCAATGCCTGAGTTAACTCGCGATTAATTGCATTTTAATCGCAAATGTTTTTTATGATTGAAAATCATTTAAATACTCTCGATGACATACAAAAAATACATACAGGCTAGGTTTGTGCCAATGTTCTTTTTTTTAAATGAAAACAGGTCACAGACACTGATTTATGCCATAGAAACATATGGCAAGAAGATGGGGAGGCATGTAGCAAAAAATAACAAATATGTAGCCAAAAAAAAAGGCCCTGAAAACAGGCTGATGTAAAAGACAGTCTTTACAGTTAATACAGTCTTTTGAACAAAGACAAGGATGTTACCCTACTGCTGTAAAATGTGGCACAGTTAATATTAGATGTCAATTAACCAAGGTAATAATGAACAATTTTCAATCAATACATCAAAATCAATAGACCGACATCACTAGATGGAGGTAGTCTATGCTCTAGAAATTTACTTTTCAGCCTCTTAACAAAAATGAGAACACACACACACCCACCCACCCACACACACACACACACCCACCCACCCACACACAGACACACACACACACACACACACACACACACACACACGATACTGACCTGTGGCGTACACAGCAAGAGTGCCGTAGCAGATTCCATTTCACCTCAGTAATCTGTTTTCTCAGCGTATTTCAGGTTGCTACTAGTTACCAGACACTCAACTTGTTTGTTGGTGGTGGGGCTTAAAGAAAAGGCACTAGCGCTACCCAGTGTATGAGCGTCTTTTTCCCTTGAGGCAGCGGGATGTACTTGGAAAATTGTACCATAAAACCACATAGCGTTAATCTCACGTTAAAAAAATTATCGCCGTTAAAATGGCCTTGCGTTAACGCGATAATAACGCGATAATTTTGACAGCACTAATATATATATACAAATGTTGAAAGTGCATAAATGTGCCATGTAGACACATATGAATGTCTGTTTGTGTGTCTGTGGGTGTGATACCCTTGTCCGAATGGAGATATAAAGTAGAGGCAACAGTGGACCCGGTTGTCCTGGATGTTCTTCCTGTTCAGCCCACTTTCATCCCTGAAGTATTGCTCGAACTGCTGGTTGATGTAGTCTGTTACTGGGATCCAGCTGTAAAACACCAGCAAACATGCTTTAATTATAAACAGCAGGAAACATAAAGATTCAACCGATACTGGAAGGGTTGGAAAACAGTAGGAGCAGAGAGGGTGATAAAAAATATCTCCATTAGGGTGGATATATGAGTGTGTAAAGGGCTGAATCCCAAACCACCCCCTAACCACTAACCCTTAACTTTTCTCTCCACTGTCGCTACAAGCATGCTTAATGTGAGGGATTGCTTTCAAGTCAATGAGTCGATGCAATCAACTGGTTTTCCTTAGATAGAAAACTTTTAATCAATTTGACTGGATGATCTGGTTGAATTGTAAACTGCCTTGAGATGACATGTGTAGTGAATTGGTGCTATATAAATTAACTTAAATTAAATTAGATTAACTATCAAGTGTCACTTGTGATACAGTCCCACTCACAGCTGTGGAGGGTATACTGTAAATGTGAATGGAACGGCTTCTTCACTTTAACAGAAAGGGAAAGCAGCCGTTACTATGGCAACACAACAACGCCTTATGTAGCTGTAGCTCTGTGGCGCGAAATTAATATAACATCAAACATTTGCCATTTTCTTAAAAATGAATCTATACAGTCAGATAAAACTACTGCAAGGAGGAGCTTCCATTTAGGGATTAATTACGTCTTTTTTCATTTTTCTAACTTGTGATTTTGTTCCAGTGTTATGAAGAGGCAGTAAACCAGCATAACTTACATTTGAACGCACATTTTTTCCTTCCGCTAAAGCGAGCCTGCACTGATGCAGACTTGCTATACAGTAGGTTCCATTCAAAATGGCGCTTGCCAGTCAAACGCCAGCTGAATCCCATCTCACTTCCCTGCAACTCCCAGCAAAATCTCATCCAACTTCCAGCCACTGTTCTTCTCCTGGGCATGCATATTTTTTTACTCTGACTCCACCCTTTCACTGAATTACAGGGTCTGACCAGGAGATTACGCTTCTCTTTAGATCTTTATGTCCACAAATCATGACAAAATATTTTAGTACAAAGATTAATGTTTAAAAAGGAATTGTAGGGGAACCTACAGCTCCCCTACAAGCTTAGTTTAGCTAAAAGCCCTACCCACTACAGGCTTTGTAATGGCCTTTAATGTGGTGGACCGTCTACAAGAACTCGCAAACGAAGGGTTATTGCTCAGGGTTAATGCTTAGGGGCCAGTTTAAGATTCCGCCTATGACTCCAGGCAAGCCATTGTGACTACAGATGTGTGCATAGTTGAGTAGTTTAGCTATATTTGGCACTGTACTATAGGGTATCTATATAGTCATCCCAAAAACTACAGCCTTTTTGCTCAGAATTTCAACTGGGGGCAAAATGTGGGAAAGTTTCATTCATTCTCTTGCCTTTTTCCAGTATATGAAAAGAAAATCAGTCAAATCCAACTTTATGACTCTTTGTTACTCTGTAAAATCCTCAAAATCCACGCTGGGTTTAGAGCAATCAATATATAAACCGCATGTTGTTGTTTTTCTTCTATCTGTACTTATGTTTCATTCTGACCTTGTTGCCAATATTTAAACTGTTTGAATCAATGAGCTTCAGGTTGTTTACCAAAGTCTGTCTATAATCTATTATTGTTTTGATTTGATCTGAACTTAATGCTATGCTAAACTACAGCTGGCTGAGCCAGAAAAGTAAAAAAAAAAATGGTTTACTTACTGTACAATTTAAATCCTAAGCCTGATGAAGAGATTTACTGGAGGTTCAGATGCACACAGACTGGCATTAAAATAAAAAATCGCACAGCTTCCTTTCATTTATTTATGTTTTTTTCTTTTTCCTCCTGTCTGAGGCTGTAATCATGAGCTTCAGCCTCATCAACCAGCCAGAATGCCATGTTTTTTTGCATTGAAAAAATGATCCTCCACTTTCTATTGATTAAAACTGAAACAAAGTAGGAGAATTTGTTTTTTAATCGTTAGTTCTCCTATGGAAAACAAATTACACCCTGGATGGAGAGCCATATAATCTGCTTTAAAACTGCAGCATGATGTTTGCACATAAAGGGCAGAAGATTAACAGAAATACAAAACAAGGTAACAGAAGAATATCTCTAATATTCTGCTATCTCTGCTTTTTTCTCATAGTAGCTTCATCTGTTTGGCTGTGACTCTCTGCTTCTGTCTCCTTGAACCCCAGTCGGCCTCAGCAGATGGCCGCTCACACTGAGCCTGGTTCTGCTGGAGGTTTCTTCCTGTTAAAAGGAAGTTTTTCCTCTCCACTGTCACTACAAGCATGCTTAGTGTGAGGGATTGCTGAAGAGCCAATGAGTTGATGCAATTAGCTGGTTTTCCTTAGATAGAAAACTTTGAATCAATTTGACTGGATGATCTGGTGAATTGTAAAGTGCCTTGAGATGACGTGTTGTGAATTGGTGCTATAGAAAGGAATTTAATTGAATTGAAGAACAGAGGAAGGTTTAGAAGGTTTAGGATTGATGGACAATCAAACAAATAATTTTTTTTTATTTTTACACTGCAAAAACAAGTAAAATATTTTAAAATATGCGCATTTATCTTTAATTTCAGTAGGTAAATAAAATTGATCTGCAAATAGAATTTTTACCCTTAAAATAAAATAATTAGATATTATGCACATGGAATAAGAGACTGCTATTATTTTTTCTTATTTTAGATGTAAACTGTCTTGTTCCATTTGCAAACGGAATGCACTGCAAAAACTATCTAGAAATCAGTCAACATTTCGTAAATTAAGCGTATTTACCTTTATTGGAGTGGTTCAAATGGCTGATTCGCCAATAGAAGGAGTATTGTTACTTTTAAGATAAGATAATTAGATAATACGCACTTGAAATAAGACAATGCAATTGTTTTTCTTATTTTAAATGTAAATCACCTTCTTCCATTGGTAAAGTGTCTCACTTACCCCCTCAATTCAAGAAACAATGCACTTATTTAAAGAAAAAATTACTAATCTAGATTTTGATTTTTTTTCTAGTGTGTAGATGCATTCTGGAAAGAAGAAATGTTACCACTCTGTGTTATTAACAGCATCTCCAAAACCCGGCACATCCACTATGGTCAGTTTGAGCTTCACGCCCTTCTCCTCGATGTCCACTGTGTGCTTTGTGATGTCCACCGTCTGCTGGATGCGCTCTTTTCAGGGGAAAACAATGCAGTAACGCAGACATTGAAGCTAGATCAGTAGGAAAAAAACAATGTAAAACCTGAGTGATGGATTGTGGACTCACCCTCAGCGTTGAGCAGCTTCCTCTCTTTGTACAGATCGGTGAGGAACAGGCTGTTGACCAGCGTGGATTTCCCCAGGCCAAACTCACCTGTGTCACAAAAGGTGCCCTTGTTCCAGTTTATCTATTATATTTTTAAACCTATTCAACAATTCCAGGCTCTCCTCACCTGCCACCATGAGGGTGAAATCAAACCCTTTTTTCACTGACTTCCTGTGCAGCTGGTTCGGCAGAGTCGCGAAGCCCACATACTCTTTGTCCTAGAAGCAAGCAAAAGGTGCAGTTAGGGCACATGGTCAATACATAATAAAATAAGGCAGGCCTGAATATGGAGGCATGAAGGGACTCTACACCTGAATGTCTAAATCACACCCCCACAAGGATCTGAGAAATGCAAACCATAAAGCTGCATCCCTGCTGCAAGTTGAGAGCCCAGGCAGCATGAAGCACAGTGAAGGACGGAGAGCAAAACAAGAGAGAAAGCTTGAAAAACTAGCATAAAATAAACCATACTTAGAGTTTACAAAAAAGTCAGAAGTGAGCAGCAACCATTACGTAGCTGTAACAGATTTATTTCACTTCCCTTTGTTTTCCTACCACATTTTATTACATTAAAACTAGAGAAAGATTAGACTAATACAGGTCTATAAGGCTGATGATGATATATGACATCAGAGGAATCGACACATTTGTGCTGCTGAGGTTTTAGGAACAAATCCTAAATAAAATGTATTACTTTTTTCTTCCTCCATTTACATGATAAAAATGACAGAATGAAAACAAAACTTTTTTAATAACTCAGACAAAAGATGAACAATATATCGCTAATGGACAGAGCAGCAGTGCAGGAGCTTCACAGATCTCAGACATGGCTGCTGAATACACCATAGAATCTGAATACCATGCTATAAAGGAATAATCAATGGATCATTATTTATATTTAAAACTAATATGTTCACAGTGATTTAATGAATTTAGAGTTAATCAGTAAGATAATAAAAACAATCATTTTTGTTGCAATCACTGAGTCTGGGAGCGGCCATTTTTGTCCAAATATAGTAACACCTCACTCCTGACATCTTCCGGCAGTGACGTCACGGTACGGTAAGCCTAGCGCCATTCTCCCTGCTTTACAACATTTGGAAGAAGAACATTTGGAAGAAGAACGTTTTCAAGATGACTTGGATAATAGCGCGTTGTGACAAACACCAGATACAGCACTGGGACTTGATCAACAGTCGATACCGCACCGTGACGTCACAAACCAGTAGGTGGCAGTAGTGTTCTTTGACAAACATGGATGCCTCCAGTAAAGCACATTCAAATGAAAATTACTCTTAATTAAAAACACTTATCAGTGTTTGAACAGTATGTAATAATTTCATGATTAAAGTTCTTTGAGAAGTTTGAATTCTGAATATGACCGGACTTTTCCTTTCACCATCAAAAACACACCAATATCAATATCAAAATATTGGCCGGTTGCTAAATGTAATCCAGATTCATGGTTAGCCATGGCTAATGATCTTCAGCATAGGACACCAACATACAAAGGAGAACAGATCCAAGGTTCCCTATGAGTGAACCAGTTTGGATCAACGCATCTCTACAAACATGCAGAGACGAGTTCAGGTCACAGTTCACTCCCAAGCCTCTATTGTTATCGTTTTTTTTTTATTTTATTCCTTTTAGCAGAAATCCATCCTTCCTTCCTTCAGTATGATATCCTAATTTTACTGAAACAAGAACGCCCAGAATCACTGACTTCCAGGAGTTGATATCATCATGTTCTTTCTAGAAGTTTGGATAACTTCTTTTTCTTTAATACAGATAGTTATAAAGAACCTCTGTTTTAATTAGAGCCAACACATGTTTACAGTTAACACTGTAATAACAATTATTTGTGACATAACAGGCTCTGTTATAACAGAGCAGAGCCTGGTTCTGCTGGAGGGTTCTTCCTGTTCAAAGGGGGGTTTTCCTCTCCACTGTCGCTACAAGCATGCTTAGTGTGAGGGATTGCATTCGAGTCAATGAGTCGATGCAATCAACTGATTTTCCTAAGAGAGAAAACTTTGAATCAATTTGACTGGATGATCTGGTGAACTGTAAAGTGTCTTGAGATGACGTGTGTTGTGAATTGGCGCTATAGAGTTTGCCTAAACCCTTTGGGCTAACTGCCTTTAGGTTAATATTCGTTTTTATTTCCTGTTTTTCTGGTGATGGTCCTGTCTGTGTCTATGTCTCTTAAATTGAGGAGGCATTTTGGAGAATCATGCTGAAGCCATTGAAGTCCACATTTCTGGGGAAGTTTGAACAGTTCTTACATGTTTGAACAGTTCTTACTACTCACAGTTGTTTTATTGACCTGATTCGTTGCGTTTTGTGTTTCCTCTGTTCTATCATGGAAACCACTTAAACCTTTTATTTAACCCCTTTTTCTGCTACTTGTTAAACTTGTCAAGTGTTTCTAGAAGTTTCCTGTTGTCTTAAAATGCTTATTTAAAAATAAATGCTTTAAGCAGAGCTTTTTTTGTTTGTTCTACAAAATAATAATCTAGTTGGTTTTACTGGTAGTTTTTTTCATTAACTAAACAAAAAACAAAATTAGGTTTATTTTCTCTTAGACTTTAATTTTCAGGTAAAGAAATAAGTAAATACTTTAAAACTAAAAATAATCTCAGTTGATCAATATAAATAAATTATCAATTCCCTGCATAGTGGTCACTATGCAGGAAATTAATGTTTCAATATACACTCACCGGCCACTTTATTAGGTACACCTGTCCAACTGCTCGTTAACACTTAATTTCTAAGCAGCCAATCAGTATGGGGAAGAAAGGTGATTTGAGTGACTTTGAACGTGGCATGATTGTTAATGCCAGAAGGGCTGGTCTGAGTATTTCAGAAACTGCTGATCTACTGGGATTTTAAGGCACAATCATCTCTAGGGATTACAGAGAATGGTCCGAAAAAGGAAAAACATCCAGTGAGCGGCAGTTCTGTGGGCGGAAATGCCTTGTTGATGCCAGAGGTCAGAGGAGAATGGCCAGACTGGTTCGAGCTGATAGAAGGGCAACAGTGACTCAAATAACCACCCGTTACAACCAAGGTGGGCAGAAGAGCATCTCTGAACGCACAGTACGTCGAACTTTGAGGCAGATGGGCTACAGCAGCAGAAGACCACACCGGGTGCCACTCCTTTCAGCTAAGAACAGGAAACTGAGGCTACAATTTGCACAAGCTCATCGAAATTGGACAATAGAAGATTGGAAAAACGTTGCCTGGTCTGATGAGTCTCGATTTCTGCTGCGACATTCGGATGGTAGGGTCAGAATTTGGCGTCTACAACATGAAAGCATGGACCCATCCTGCCTTGTATCAACGGTTCAGGCTGGTGGTGGTGGTGTCATGGTGTGGGGAATATTTTCTTGGCACTCTTTGGGCCCCTTGGTACCAATTGAGCATCGTTGCAACGCCACAGCCTACCTGAGTATTGTTGCTGACCATGTCCATCCCTTTATGACCACAATGTACCCAACTTCTGATGGCTACTTTCAGCAGGATAATGCGCCATGTCATAAAGCTGGAATCATCTCAGACTGGTTTCTTGAACATGACAATGACTTCACTGTACTCAAATGGCCTCCACAGTCACCAGATCTCAATCCAATAGAGCATCTTTGGGATGTGGTGGAACGGGAGATTCGCATCATGGATGTGCAGCCGACAAATCTGCGGCCACTGTATGATGCCATCATGTCAATATGGACCAAACTCCCTGAGGAATGCTTCCAGCACCTTGTTGAATCTATGCCACGAAGAATTGAGGCAGTTCTGAAGGCAAAAGGGGGTCCAACCTGTTACAAGCATGGGGTACCTAATAAAGTGGCCGGTGAGTGTATGTTATACATTCATTATATGTTATTGTTGCATCATCCCATTCAGAAAAATCTCATTAGTTGATCGTTGCAATGGAAGAAAGTCATTGAAACCAAGATGGCTGACACACACAGGGGGAAAGAATAAACACCTCGGCTATTTCAGCTTCTACAGGGGAGCAGAGGAACCACCATTCCAACAGAATACCATATCACCACTATAAAACTGAACTACAACTATATCTATGCAACTACTTTGTTGGTGCACTGCAAAAACAATCCAGAAATTAGTAAACCGTTTTAAATCAGTGTATTTAACCATAATTTGATTAGGTAAATAAGATGATTTGCCAAAGCAATTACTATTTTCACTCACAAAATAAGAAAATTAGATGAGATAAACTTGAAATTACAGAATGGAATTGTTTTGTTTTTTTTCTTTTTCTTATTTGAAATGTACATTGTCTTATTCTATTGGCAAAATGTCTCACTTACCTCCTCAATTCAAGAAAAAATGCACTTTTTTTAGAAAAAAAAATACTTCTTTAGATTTCCCTTTTTCCCGCGATTATTTAACAGTATAAGATGCATAGTACTCTTGAATGGACAGAGAAATATTTATAGAATAAAGATAGATGTTTTCTTTTTTATAACCTTGTTTTACATTCCTAAGGATGTATAAAAACCATGACTGAGTTTATCATAACTCATACGTGGAAGGGATAAAACAGTTGCCTTATTGTTTTCTGTTGATAGAGCAGAACGTGTTTATGAACATTGCACAGCTTTAACCCATTTCCACGAAGGAAACAATGACAGACAACAATAATGAATGCCTGCCTAGAACAGTCCCTGCTTTCCCTCCCTTACAGCATGAATTAGCCCATGAGCCTCTATCTGAAGTAGGTCATGATAATGAAGCCTAAATTAAAAATAACTGAACAACAGTTGCATATTTAATCAAATGATCCTTAGAATAAGATATAATTGAATGTTAGTTATAATCAAACGAAGGACTATTATTGTTAGCTTGTTCTTCTAAACTGCTTGTTTCTGCTCTTTAACAGACGTTTTGACAAGCCAAGGATGAGGAGAGTAAAAGGAGTTCCAGAAAGGAATATAATTACAATTCTCTTTATTTTAGTTGTTATTTTTTTGAGTTTTTACAGCTCTAGCAGCTTGTTTTTCTGACAGTAGCCTGACAGGAAAGGGGTTATGAGTGAAGGGAAGAGAAATGCAGCCAAGTAAGAAACCTCCAGCGGAGTCAGGCTCGGTGTGAGAGGCCATCTGCTTAGGCCGACTGGGGTTGTCAGAGGATGTAGAGAGCACATCCAGCCAGTCACAATAAAAGAAACAGGACTACACTGAAAAAACAGGCAGGTCTCCAATATCTCTAAACAAAGGTGTTTCCCTAATTAAAAAGTGAAATTCATCAGATGTCGAAAACGTGGATTGTTTTATTTCTGTTTTATTTTTGTATATTTAAAGCGGGTATTTTTGTTTTTTGCAGCGTAGGTCAGGAGCCATTGCTTCAAAATAAAACAGCTTCCCCATAAAGCTTCAGAATAAAGTGCACAGAAATCTTTTGGTAGGCGGCTGCATTGATCTTTGACTTGATAAAGGTCAACGTGTTGGTAAACCAACACCAGCAGACAACATGACACGTCAAAATATCCCCGACTACAGAAACATCAACCAGCGTAGATTCTGGGACCTCTGTCTCCTTGTCTCCTGGGATTTTGTGGCACTCTGCTGCCGTGCAGAGACTGTCTGTTAAAATGCTTTTTTTAAAAGAGCAAACCCCCATCCAGGGGTAGATTTTGGAAATGTGGGGCCCTAGGCAAAAACAGGCAGGGGGCCCTCTGAATTGAGAAGACAACACATAAAACAGACCCATCATGCAGATACAGAATTGTTATAGAATAGACATCCACTTTTTGCTCTACATTTTGTCCCTCTCTTCTTGTCCCTTTTCTTGTTGTTTTCCATCTATGTTTTGTACTCAGCTGACTTTTCATGCTGTCTCAAAAGGAATGAAAGATTTTTTCCAATCACTAAGCTCACTTAGCTAATTGCTCCTTAGCAGAAAATAGTCACTAGATTAGGCACTAGGCGCTGTTTAGAAACAAACGTGCTAGAGGGGTCTGAAAAGTCGCATCGTTAGTTTTCAAATGGTTTGCTGCTGTGTGTTTGGATCAGTGTTGGCAGTGTTGCCAACTTTTGTCGCTATATTTGGTGACTTTTCAGACCCCTCTAGAATTTTGATTTATAAAAGAAGCACCAAGTAAAACACCTAGCCACTTTTTTCTGCTACTGGAGACTTTGGCTACAACATCTAAAAGCAGCGAACTCTGCTCTCCAGAGCAAGTAGATTGGTAACCCCGCCTCCTGCTCTCCTCTATCTTGTCTGCTGTCATGATTCATGCAGCTATTATTCATGCAGGACTTGTTAATGGTTCTTTCAGTGAGAAAGATAGATATATCATTGGACTCTTTAAATAAAAAAACAAATAATATAAGTATATTCCATTGTTTTGAACATTTAAATTATCATCAGTAAGATGTGAATGATGTGTACAGTGATTTTAGTGAAGGTACAGTACATAATGGAGGAGTTCTTGATTATTTGTCCCAATAAAAAAATACCCAAATATATTAAATATTATTTAATTGATATAATAATAGTTGTATTATCATCAGGAGAGTGTGAATGATGTGCACAGTGATTTTGGTGTGGCTACAATTCATAATAGTGTATTTATTGATAAATATATGCTTATAATGACACTGAAAAAAATCTCTAAAAATAAGAGTTTAGCAAATATTCCCAAAGTAAGAGTTGTGGTATGATCCAGATGAAGTAATCTATCTGTGCTACAAGTTTAGTGGCACTGCAATGATTTATAGTGTAGTGTAGCACATTTTATACTTATTGTAATAATAACATAGAGGTTCTATTTGTCATTTAGGTTTTGGGAAAGTCCTCAAAAAGTATTATTTTAAAATCCAATAAATGTGGTATAAAAGACATGAGATGAGATACACATGAAATCAATTTGACAATAATCCACCTCTCCTTGGTGACGCTTTTGAATATTTCTCTCTGATTATTTTTACGATGTAACTTGCAGACGGCCCCTAAGCATTCGCCGAGGAGCGAGCTCTGCATAGGGTTAATGTATTTCTTCCTGCATGATAGGAGTTTTGTAGAATTAATTATCTGCTGATGAGTTATTAATCCGGAAAAGCCGAATCTGTTGCTAACTTTACTGCAGTATGAAAAGTCAGCTGAGCGTATTGCCAATATGAAAAGAAAGGAACAAAAAAAAAAAAATGGAGGAAAACAGCAATAAAAGGTAATCAAATAACAAAAGGTAGAACAAATAATGGATGTCTATTCTATTCAAATTTCTGTATATATAATGGGTCTGTTTGATGTGCTGTCTTCTCAATTCAGAGGGCCCCATACCTGTCTTTGCCTAGGGCCCCAAATGTCCTAAATCCGCCCCTGGATGGGGGGGTTTACTCTTTAAAAAAAGCATTTTAGCGCAAACACAGATATTCTCACACCTCCATCTGCTCTATTTACCTCCGCTTCTTCTGTGGCGTGGAAAAGCCGCATTCCAACAGAGATGAGCGGCGATGAGCATCAGATCAGTTCCCATGGAGACCCGGAGGACAGAAATAAAAGACAGGAGAGGTGAGAGGAGATGGAGGCTGCAGCATCCGGCCGGCTGGGGGGTGCTCACCTGCACGGGGCGCGCGGCTCCGGTACCTGCTGCTGTTGGACGTCATGTTGGACACAATGGAAGGTTGCTGCTGATGAAACCAAGGGGTGGGGGGTGTGGACACGATCTACGTCATCACGGCACGCGGAGAAGAAGAGGACAACCGCGAGCCAATACGCACAGATCAGAAGTATTAGAGCTGCTACAGTTGATGTTTATTATTTTTTTTTTTCTTTTTATTACCTCGGTTCATTCAAAATGACTCTGGATGTAATAGTGATGTAAATAACCCAATCTGTCAGCAGTTCACCAGGCCACCAGGTGGGGGCAGTGTCCCGCTTTACCTAAACACTGATATAGAGCAATAGAGCTCTATTCCATCCTGCTTCAGGCATTTTATCATGAGTGGGAAGTAACAAAGTACATTTACCTTATTTCAATACTCAAGTACTTTGTTTTAGTATCTTTAACTGAGTATTTTTATAACTTTTACTCCAATGCATTTCAAAGTCAAATATTGTAACTTCACTCCATTTCTAGGAAGCTGCTAGTTAATTGTTCCTTTTGGCTCAGCTTAGCTTTGTAATCCGCTGTTGCTGTTTTTCTTTCTCGAAATGCATTTTCATCTTGTAAGACAGCAGCCCTTAGGACTAAATATGGACACCCCTGTTTCAAAAAAATTGCCTGATATACAACAAATGTGAGAAACTCAGGGCAGATATTATTACTATAATTTTATCAAGGTGTTAGTTGTTGTCATGTTGCCAAGTTGTTCAGTAGGATGAGTCTCAAAGCAGAGTTGTACTTTCTTTGTTGTAATAGATTCAACATTAAACCTCTATTACATAGTGAAATTAACCACTATAGAGAATCAAGACACTCCTGTTTTCTTTTTGGTTTGTTTTTAAATAAGAAATAATAATTCAATTCAACTCAGTTTATTTCTATAGTACCAATTAACAACACATGTCATCTCAAGGCACTTTACAGTTCACCAGATTATCCAGTCAAATTCATTCAAAGTTGATATTTCTCTCGAGGATGGAGTCACAGCCAAAAAGGAATGGACGAGGCGAAGCTATTATGGGAAAAAGCAGAGAGAGCATAATGTTACAGATTGGACTAACAAGTTCAGCAGAGTGGGAGAATAGAGATAGAATGAAGCAGAATAATGAAAAAGGGGCCCCTATGTCCTCCAGCAGTCTAAGCCTATAGCAGCATAACTATAGAGATAGCTCAGGATAACCTGAGCCACTCTAACTATAAGCTTTATCAAAAATGAAAGTTTTAAGCCTAGCCTTAAAAGTAGACAGGGTGTCTGCCTCACGGACTAAAACTGGTCATTGGTTCCACAGGAGAGGAGCCTGATAACTAAAAGATCTGCCTCCCATTCTATTTTTAGAAATTCTAGGAACCACTAGTTAACCTGCAGATTGACAGCGAAGTGCTCTGTTAGGAACATAAGGAACAATCAGATCTCTGATATCAGATGGAGCTTGGCCATTTAAGGCTTTATATGTGAGAAGGAGGATTTTAAATTCTATTCTGGATTTAACAGGAAGCCAATGAAGAGAAGCCAGGATAGGAGAGATATGATCTCATCAGAACTCTGGCTGCAGCTGGGTTCACAGAGTTAAATCTGCACACCACAGACATCAGCTACTGCACAGAGACCTGCCACATTTAGAAGTTTTCTGATGACCCTTCAGTAGTTGGATGTATAAGAAGTGATCATGTCTTGCATACAGGCTCAATCCCAAACCACCACATTGCAATATTGTATTGTGACCCTTGTTGACTCCCAGGGGCCATTATGGGACAGATTGGATTATTCAGATTTAGGTTTCTTGTCATAAATTTAAACGAGTGTTCCGCATCAGATTCAAAAAGCGTTCACTTACGCGCTTTCTAAAGAAAGCGCGTAAGTGAGCGCGCTTTCTTTAGAATTTGAAATCTGCATGATTATGCTCCCATCTGGAGTTAAGGAACCCCACTGAGAGATTGGGTTCCATCTGACAGAGACAGCCAGAACAGGGGAGAGGTAGTGGCTGGCTGGGTCTAGCTCTGGGGGGTAAAAGGGTGGTTATACTCCCACAGCAGTGGGTCGCAGTGAGCTTGTCACAGATATTTTTGATTTATGCCCAATATTGAAGCGTACTCTGCACTATGTTATTCCACGCCACAACGCAAGAGGGACAATCAGGAACTAGCTGTGGGTCTAGATACAGCTGAGGTGGTGAGGAAGTGGTCTCTACGTAATCTTTGCATCTGCGTTGGTTTAATAAATGTGTTAAAAAACCCATAAAGTCCCCCAACCGCATGTATTTGAACAAATAATCAAACATCTTGTAGCTTTGATCTGCAGAAGGGCACTAGGCAAGGATTTTCACTCCCTCCTTCATTGTTTTCTATCTTTATTGAACTACTAGCTACAGCAATCAGACTAACCAACAATATTACAGGTATTAAATGCAGTAATATAGAACATAAAATCAGTATTTATGCAGATGATGCATTACTCATTCTCCAGCACTCAAAAACCGTACTGTATATTGAGTTGCTGAAAATATTGTTTCATGCTTTTACAATAATTTATAAACCACATAGGATGTTCTGCACACACTGAACTTTACAAATATAGATCATTTGAGATGTTAAAGGAAAATGCCAGCCAGCAAGGAATAATCAATGGATCTATTCCTAAAACTAATATGTTTGCAGTGATTTGATGAATTTAGCATTAATCACTAAAGAAATACAGATAGTCAAATAGTTGATAGTAAAAAATACCGGCCATCCTTACGCAAATATAGTAACATCTGACTCCTGACATCTTCTGGAAGTGGTAAGCCTAGCGCCATTTTTTTGACATGGGAGCCGGCTCGGAGCTCGTCTGTCTGGCTGTGTGTTTCTTGGACAGGGCCGCCTTTTACAGTTGCCTTTTGTATCTCTGCTTCTGTCTCCTTGAACCCCAGTCAGCCTGTGCAGATGGCCGCTCACATTGAGCCTGGTTCTGCTGGAGGTTTCTTCCTGTTTAAAGGGAGTTTTTCCTCTCCACTGTCGCTACAAGCATGCTTAGTGTGAGGGATTGCCTTTGAGTCAATGAGTCAATGCAATCAACTGGTTTTCCTTAGATAGAAAACTCTGAATAAATGTGACTGTATGATCTGGTGAAGTATAAAGCGCCTTGAGATGACACGTGTTGTGAATTGGCGCTATAGAAATAAACTGAATTGAACTGAATTTAATTTAATTTTCCCTCTCCCTCCTTTTTACAAGCAAAATCAATGGGAACTACTAGACACATCTGCAATCAACAACAATTATTAAAGATTTCCAGAGGACTTCACCAGAGAAATTCACCAGAGCTATAGTGAAACTGACAATGCCCACGTGCATGGCAGTTGGATGTTGGAATACATGGGGTAAAAGTGAAAAAAAAATTTATTTCACCTTTCCGATTTCTGATCCTCCACGGACGGGTTCATCGTTGGATTGCCAACGTGAAGAGGGAGGATTTACCATCAAACTTCTGTCCAGAGGAAAAACACGTAATATGTAGCCAACATTTGGAAGAAGAATGTTTTCAAGATGACTTGGATCATAGCGCGTTGTTACAAACACCAGATACAGCACTGGGACTTGATCAACAGCCGATACAGCACCATGACGTCACAAACCAGTAGGTGGCAGTAGTGTTCTTTGACAAACATGGATGCCTCCAGTAAAGCACATTGAAATGCAAATTACTCTTAATTAAAAACACTTATCATTTATTGAACAGTATGGAATAATTTCATATTAAAAGTACTTTCAGAAGCTTGTAATTTGAATGTGAACGGACTTTTCCTTTAAATGTTGTTGGATTATTAATTTAAGTTAATCAGGTTGTGGTGGTCTGAAAAAAAATGCTTGAAGAAATTCCTGGTCTAATTTCTTTTCCCAGACCGCTCCTGGTTAAGCCCTTTTTAACTGCAACTTTATCCTTTAAATGACAACACCAATCTATGTGAGCATTCCCTCAGCTTAAACGACTTCAGCTGGGAAGCAGGTTAACGCAGGAAGTTTGGAGCAGGCATTGTACAATGGTCTGTCGCATGTGTTTTTAACTGATTTGTTGGCTGCCAAGGAGCAAAAAACCCACCAGGAGGAAGTACGCATTGTTCTGCAGGAGCATTTTCTCTTTCTCAGTGGCATGAGGACAATGGACCCAGATGGCTATTTGTCCTTCATAAGACGCACAGGAATCCCAAGAAAACAAAAAAATGCTAGGAGTTTCAGTTGGTGTGCTTCTCTTTTTCTTTGTTTTGTTTGTTTTTTTCTGAGAAAGCAGAGTGTCAAAATTCAAAGAAGATAAGCTCACATTTCCCTTCTCACACAAACAGTTGTTGACATGAAGAAATCTCAAAGATCATGATCGCCAGAGAGCAGAGGCGAACAGAGAGAAGAGGAAAGAGACAGGAGCCAAAGAGAAACGTGCTGCAAAGAGGGGATAATCTGAGTAGCCACCATGCTGATTGTGCTCCACAGAGACAGGAAATGGCCCTGCTACACGCAGGAAATGAGCTGATGGCTTAGATAAGATGGGAAACTGAAATTAAACAAGTCCAAGCATAAACAGTGAGCAGTAGTGGCAAGTCCATAAATCCATCCTAAACCGTCTGCTGCACAAAAGTCATATTTGCTGTTGCACCAATTAAGACAAAAGCCTGTTACTGCAATGGCATCTATTTTTGACAAAATACATTTCTGGGTTATGATCCCACATGCCTTTTGTGACACATTGATCCTTTAATCAAATGATTTTAGCACCTGTTTGATTAGTTCCTCTGTACTGTTAGCATTAGTGAGCTCTTTAACTGGGTCAATCAATTATATTCAGTTTATTTCTATAGCCGCAATTCACAACACATGTCATCTCAAGGACCTTTACAGTTCAACAGATCATCCAGTCACATTCATTCAAAGTTTTTTATCTTAGGCAAACCAGCTGATTGCATCGACTCATTGACTTAAAGACAATCCCTCATACTAAGCATGCTTGTAGCGACTGTGGAGAGGAAAAACTCCCTTTTAACAGGAAGAAACCTCCAGCAGAACCAGGCTAAATGTGAGCGGCCATCTGCTGAGGCTGAC